AGCACTCCTTGCCTCCCCAGAGAGGCACCCCGGGACCTCTTTGAGACAAACTGAAAAATTTCCCATAACTGAACTGCGGTACTGAATCTTTTCTCTGCTGCTGGAAAGACACCCACCGCACATACCCTCTCGCTGCAGTGCTTCTGTTCTACCCGGCACCCCCTGGACAGGCCACCTCTGGCCACTGCTTGGACTGTCTCCCTTCCCAGGTGCCTCTGTGCTGCTGCATCCGCCAGGATCCTCCTGGGCCTTCCTGGGTCCCCAGCCGCAGCTGTCCTGCCTCCCCCAGCTCCTGTTGTCCTGGCAGCCATGCCTTTCACTAGGTGTGCAGCCTCCTTGCTGTGTCGGGGTCCCTGGGGGCCCGCCCCACCCGCTGTTTGAGACCCAGGCCCCCATTGCTTGCTTGCACTTCCCACAGTGCTCGGTGGGGTGTAGATTTTCAGGAAGAGTTGTTCATTGATTTGTCTTTGCAGTTTCCGTAACTAGAATCTTTGTCCCCTGTGAGTCATTTTCTTAGCAAAAGGTGAAACTCCAGCTCCCTTGCGTCGTCAGCATTTCAAGTTCTTGTTGTTTCTTCAGTGGCTCTTCCTATCCCAGAATTTATTCTTTGTGGGAAAGGTTCTGACACCCAGTTTTCATCTCTTCTACCCTGGGAACCCCTCCCTTAGCGTGTTATACTCCGTCAGCCCCACCCTGGGGAGGCCAGGGATGCTCCGTCAGCCCTGAAATCCCCACCTTACCCACCCTAGTAGACCACACTGTCGCTCGGCCCCGGGCCCCTTTGGGACTTGGGAGTGGTCCCCGGTTCTGTTGTTCATCAGCTTCCCTGATGGTGGTAGCTCGTGGCTGCCCACTGATGAGAGCAGCCTGGTGTCACCTCGACCTTGGATGGGGGGTGTGGAGCAGTCCCACCCCAGAGCTGTGACTTGACCCAGTATTAGGCCCAGTTCTTGCTAGGGAGCTGGGCCACACTGCTGGAACCTGCCCTCCTCACCAAAGCTGGCCCCCTTGGCTCCCTTCTTTTTTGTTCTGCTTGCTTTCACTGCTCCTTTCACCCCATGCTGGGAACCGACAGACCTTTTCCGGGCTAGGGGCTCTGGTGCCGAACAAGGTAGATCCAGTCATGGAGCTCCTGGTCTAGAGTAGTGGTTCTCAGCCCTGCTGAGAGCTTTTAAAAAAATGCGAGTGCCTGGGCCGCACGGCTGACAGTTCTTGTATGGTAGCTCTGCATCAGAGTCTGGGCGCCCGTAGCTTGTTAAAGCTGCATGTTGTCTCCCACGCACAGCCCAGGATACAGGCTACCTTTCTCAGTCCGTTCGGGACCACCAGAGACTGGCTGGCTTCTGACCAACAGAAATTTATCTCCTGCAGCTCTGGGGGCTGGGAAGTCCGAGATCAAGGTCCGGGCAGCTTCCGCGTCTGGGGTGGGCTCGCTTCCTGGTTCGTAGGCGGCCACTTCTTGTGTCCTCACGCGGCAGGGAAGGGGAGGGAGCTCTGAGGACTGGTTATAAGGTGCTCACCCCGTGACCTAATCGCCTCGCAGAACCCTTGTGACCAAATCACCTCCCAGAGGCCCCACCTCCTAATACCACACACTGGGGGATTCAGCCTGTGAATTTGGGGGAGACGCAAACATTCAGTCCACTGCGCTGCTGTGTGCTGAGCACTGTCTCAGTGGCGAGCATCATCTGACCCCTTCCTGCAGGTCGTCTGCACCTGCGTCGGGTTGGAGCCTCACAGGCGCTGCCATTTACCAGCTCCTCTAGATGGAGACCCATTCGTGTTCTTCTCCCTTCTCACGCCCTCTCCACCACCACGGGACTAATTTGGTTCCCTGCCCCTTTTGTTTGGATCTGAATTTCCTTCCCACTTCTCCTCCACCCCTGTGTTCACTTACTGGGCCATCAGCAGTAACCTCCTAACTGAGGTGCACCTGCGTGGCTCAGTCAGTGAAGCATCCGACTCTTGATCTCAGCTCAGGTCTTGATCTCAGGGTCGTGAGTTTAAGCCCCGTGTCGGGCTCCACGCACTGGGCATGGAGCCTACTTAAACAAAACCAAAAAAAGCCCTCACCTCTTGAAACTTCTATGGTTGCCTTGGCTAGTTGGCAGCTGCGCCTCTGTGCTTCTGCAGCACAGTGACTTCTAGAATTGTTGTTAACCCTCTGAAAGACTCGGAGCCTGCTGGGACAGACACCTTGTTTGATTCCTGAATCCATAGCAGTGAGCACCAAGTAGGCACCTGGTGAAGATCGGTTACTGGGACCTGGCTGAGGCCTGGACACGGCCTGTTTTCCTTCTGCTCGGACGGGCACCAGCCCCAGTAGACTCTGGTGGCATTTTGGGTCTGCCACCCAGAGGTGTTGACAGAACAAAACGCAAAGTATTCACAAGCACATGAAAAGGATGGGATAGCAAACTGGAGGGCAGTTCTGGTCAAAAAGCAAGTCAGAAATCTGAGGGCAGTGCTCACAGTTGCTTTTGGATTCATAATAACCAAATATAGATTACCGATGCTTCACAACAATAGGATTGGTAAAAAATAAAACCCGACTCTAGTTTAAACAGTTCAGAGCTGCAGACTTAGGCCTGGAAAACTGAACTGTTGGGTGCGATGCCCGCCAATGAAAATTCGAAAAGGCCAAAGCTGTTACTGGCAAATCTTAATGCAGACTAAAAAGTAATCGGTGAGTCAAATCCTCACTGTAATATTTACATAGGAAAGAATGGATTCAATGAAAACTATTTCATTAAGATGAAGATAGAAAATTATCAGGAACATGGGGCGCCTGGGTGGCTCAGTCCGTTGGGCGTCTGCCTTCGGCTTGGGCCTGGGGTCCTGGGATTGAGCCCTGCATCGGGCTCCCTTCTCAGTGGGAAGCCTGCTTCTCCCTCTGGCCCTCTCTCTGCTCATGCTCTCTCTCTGTCTTTCTCCTCAAATAAATAAATAATTATAAAAAATCATCAGGAACAGTGTAACTGTTCACTGTAGAAAAATCATTTACTTTTCCTCCGGAAAATGCCTTGTCCGTAAGTGTCCATCGGTATTGGCATAATTCTGAACACACATGTTGTTGGGGTAAAAATGTCCTGTCCGTGTGTGTAGTTGCTGCTCCCAAGTGACCATCTGCACCATGGAGCATCAGAACTGCTGGAACCCTTAGCCCAGCCCTGATGCCTTTTCTCTTTCTGACAGGGGGCGGTGCCCAAAGGAAATGCCACTAAAGAATTCATCGAGAGTTTACAGCTGAAGCCCGGACAGGTGGTATACAAGTGTCCCAAATGCTGCAGCATCAAGCCCGACCGAGCCCACCACTGCAGGTACACATGTCCCCCCCTTACACCCCCCACCCCCGGCCCACTTCCTCCCCTCCCCCACCTCTCACATGCTCTGGAGCAGCAACCCCCGCACCTGCTTCCCGCACAAGTGCCATCAGCAACAGGACTTCTGAACGTCCCCTACTCTGGGCACATGACCACTGTGACTGAGTTCCGATCTCCATGAGCTCACTAGATTAGAAAGGGCATTTGGTTTGGGCTCAGGACACCTGTCCTAAGACTTGACAGAGGACCCTGCCAGGCCTTTGACTGTTGTATCTGTAAAATCGAGGGGTTCCTGCTCTTCCTACCTCACAGCTTTATTTATTAAGGGCACAGGAGACAGAGGTTTGGAAAATCATTCTGAGTGTCCAGTACTTGACCCATTTAAGAGGTGGGCCCTACTCACTTGACTTTCAGAGGGAAACGAAGGGTCTGTGCCTGAATGGAGATGTTTCTTTAAAACAAAACTTCTAGAGGTTGTGACAATTGTAGGATTCGGCCAAAAAAGCCATTTCCCCATCTCATGTGTGGTGATTTTTCCCTTTGGTTTTCAGATGTCTTCGTTGTTTTGAGTCTTCTCAACGAGAAGGCAACTAGCTAAAAACTGCATTTTATCACTACAAGGGGACTTTAAATGCTAAATTACACTTGGTGTCACTTGGTCCTTTTCTCAGACTGGGGGCGGGGGCTGGGAGGGGCACACTGCTGGTGAGGGCCACAGACAGGCGTGGGGCCCAGTGTTTGCAGCTCCAGTCCAGGGCTCTTTCCACTAGAACTCCGGTTTGGGGGTGACTTGTGTGGCCTGATGGAATTGTATGTATGTCTTTCTGTCAGAGAGAGATGGCGACCTCCCCAACTAGTTGGCCCCTCTTGGGGGTGACGGCTGAGGAGTTTGGACAGGGCCTGTGCTAATTGCTGTCTCCCATGGGGTTTCCGGCAGCTTGGAGAAGCTGAGCCCAGCGTGGGGCCAGTTTACCTCTGAGATCTGTGTTACAAACGAATTCAGGGCTTGCTGCTTGTGCCTGGGGTGGAGGCGCCTGTCTAGCCTTTTCTGCTACCCGAGGCATGGGAAGCCAGCCGTTTTCATCACCTGAGTGAAGGGCCCCCATCTGCTTATGTGGTTCCCCAGGCCCCAACTCCGGGTGGCCCGGTGTGCTGAGCAAGCTCCCGCCTCAGAGTTGGAGAGGTCAGCGCTGGAAGCCCAGCAGTGCCCCCACCACGCTGTGGGGCCACGGACCAGGCAGCACATCTCTCCAAGCTCAGCTCTGTCCTCTGCAAAGGGGGTTGTTGCCCGGCAGCTTGTCGTGAGGGTGAGACATGAATAACTGTGGGAGTCCGCTGGCTCCCCCAGCAGAAGCCATTGGTTAGCAGAGGCGTGTGCAAGCAGCCGGGCGTGCTGGGCTTCCAGGCTGGACCAGCAACAGGGAGGCTCGAGCTTTGTAGGAAAGAACTTTCGGGTGACCACAGTGGTTCTTTCTCTTCCCTCCCTGAGCCCTCCGCGGCCTCCACTGCCTGGCATTTTGCTCACCGCCGCCTCCTAGCCTCTGTCCCCAGGATGATCCGAGGGAGGTATTCTTGAGTGCTAGTAAACAAATCAGCTTGAGCAAAACAAGAGCTGCTGATTCAGACGAAGTCGAGTGAGGATGCCTGTGTGTCGCCTACTCCCGCATCAGGAAGCGTGTGCTGATGACCATTTCTCTGTGAGGGCTCGCGGCGGCCCAGGCCATCTGGGGACCCGCAGTTCGGGATAAGCACCATGCCCAGCACACCAAACAGAGCTGGGTTTCTGACTGCTTAAGCCGAGAGGCCTGCCACCTGGCTCGAGAGAGTCGGAGTCAGTATCCCTGCTCGAGTGAAGGCGCGTGTCTGTGTGCATGAGTGCGCACCTGGCTTTTTGCATCCTGAGCTCTGATGGGTACTGCAGATGCTCCCTGACCCTGGATGTGTAGATGTTCGTTCCAGCCCGGTGGTGTGTGGGTGGGTCTTCTTTCCACCGAGAGGCATTCTGGAACGCCGGGCTGCTTTCATCCTGGCGTTGAGGACCATGGAGGCCTGTGGAAACCCTGGAGAGGGAGCTGTTCATGCTAACGTGGACAGCCATGGTGTTGGGCTTAAGAGTTAGGTTCCTCTTGCACAAGGAGGTGGAGACCTGTGCCCCTGGCAAAGCCTTACACCCCTCCCCATAGACCCCACCCCCACAAACACATACACGCTGAGGCTGAGACAGTCACGGACGGCTTAGGGTCCCTGCCAGATTCTTATGTTGTCTCTCTCATGGTTGTGACCACTGGTAAAATTTATGTAGCGCTAGTATTGTTTTTAAAGCATTTTACCTACGTCATCTCTAACCTTGGGAGATGGGGACTAATTCTGCAGAGGGCGGTTCGGAGAAGCTAAGTTGCTTTGCCCAGGTCCCCACGTGGGGATTGAGAGCAGTGTTCTCTCTGCCGCCGCCCCGGGCTTCCTCATCCAACATTGTTGCAGAGCTGGGACCACGATGTGGTAGATGCTTTTTTGCAGGAGGTGTGGGGTGAAAACCTGGATGTGGAGCAGGGTCCACCTGGTGTCCTCTAGCTTTGTTCTTTGCTCGTGCCCTGCCGGGTGTCCCGGTCTGATGCGGTGGAGCCGCTTCCCAGGCCTGCTCTTTCCCCATCTGTAGCTTCAGGGACTGCACTTGGCTCCCCCTTGCTAAGGAGGTCCTGGACCTGGCCCTGGGCCGTAGCGGTGGATTAGATGTGGCCCTGACCCTTGGGCCTGCCACTCAGGCAGGGCAGGTGCACTTTTCTACCCCGATACAGTTTGGTAAGTGCCTCTGTAGGGGGAGACGCAAGCCCTCGGGGACACAGCTATGTTTCCACAATGGGCCATCACCCAGGCTTGGGCAGGGCCTCAGCCAGCAATTTTGGGGGCCTGAGAACCAAGAGCCTGAGTGCACGTGAGCTGATGAGCTTGTCGGGCTCTACCAAGCTTTTGAAGGAAGTGCTTCGGGGCCTGAAAAATAGCAGGGAACCTGGAGGAAGAGGGAAGGAGGGGCATCGCCTTCTTCTAGAACATTGATTTAAAAACACAGAAGGGGCTCGGGAAACCCTGGAGGCAGGGACATCAAAAGATGCCTCCGTGGAAGATGTTCAGTCTTTGCAGCGACTGTTCCTGCAGTTTGGGACACGCTGCCAGCCCGCGGTGCCTGAGCCCCAGGAGCGCACCTGCCCACAGCGTCTCGCATGAGGGGCAGCGAGGGGTGCCCAAGAGGAGGCCCAGGAGAGGGCTGGCGCTCACAGGAAGGAAAGAGCAGTAAGGAGCCCCAGAGAGGAGAGAGGGAAAGGGCCTGTGTCTGGGGAGGGGACACCTTGGAGCCCCGCTGCCCACCCAGCCTCGGGGAGTGGGAAGAAGGCTGGCTCTGAGGTGACCGATTCCCCACTGGGGTATCCGGGGTTGTGGGAGGCCCACATTTTTTCTTCCTCAGGATGGATAGGGCCCGAGGCGGAGCAGCTGGGCGGGACACTGGCAGGCCTTGCCCTTGGTGTTCTCCAAGCCCCAAATGTAGAAACGTTTGGGCAGGTGGTTTTGTGAGCCGTGGGTGAGACAGTGCCTGATCAGGGCCTCTTGCAACATTCATGGATGGACTCCCCACCCACATGCACCACCGCCTGGCCCCAGAGCCAGCTTCTGAACAATCCTGCACGCCTTTGCAGACAGGAAGCTCAGAGCCGGGCACACTCTGGGCCAACTTCTGCTGCTCTCAGCGGCTCTGCTTGCTTGTCCCTGCTCCCCGGAGGAGGAAGAGGAGTGTTCTGATGTGGCCACCCAGTGACACGTAGCCCATCGTGAAACCCACTTCCTGGGGTGCACGCCGGGGCTCTTTAGAGGCTGGGAGGAGAGCAAAGGACGGATTTGCTTGAGAGCTCGTTGAAACTCAGGCGGCTTTCGGAGGATGTCAGGCCGCTTGGCAGCTCTCTGCTGAGCAAACGCTGCCTCAGAGCACCCGCTAGGAACCCCTTGCAGAAGGAGGCACGGGTGGAGGAGAAAGGGCTCAGGAGCCTGAGGCAGGGAGGGGCTTCACCTTGGGAGTTCGGCCCTCAGACTGGGAGGGAGCTAAGACCCCAGAGCTGAGGAAGGACGTGCCAGGTGACTCTGCAGAAGGAATGTGGGGCCTGGTGGCTGAGGCCCAGGATGCAGGGAGCGGCTCAGTCTTCACTCTGTACTTGTCTGTACTCTTAAGATTATATCCTGGGAACAAGTGTTATTAATTGAAATCTATACTATACATATTCGTATGCACTGTTTTAATTAGTAGCACACACACACAGAGAGAGACGGGTACCTGACTTTCTCTTTATGTCTGTCTGTGTCCCTTTCATGCCTCTTTCTTCCCCTGACCTCCTGGCCCCCAGGGAGAGGCTAGAGCTGGGCCAGCTCTCTGAGATGTGCCCATTCCCCCCTGTTAGTGAGGACCTTCGAAGTTGTGGAGCAGAACCAGGGTGGAGACTGGCCAGGCCCCCACAAGCAGTCCTCACCTTGTCGTTACAACACTTTCTGTGGACGGGGAACCCGAGGCTCCAAGTCTGGCCAGTCTGACCAAGGTAGCTCAGCAGGCCCAGGCCTACCTTACCACTAAAGCTCACGCCCTGCTCAGAAAAGGCCGCACGTCCTCCTTGGGGTGTGGATGAGCCCGCAGCTCCGAGTTGGCCGTGGCCTAGCTGCGGGGCTCTCCTTCAGAGTGGTCTGTGCTTCCTGGCCTGGAGTCTGGGGAGCAGCTCACTTCCACTCCCAGGAGAGCTCCTCCCATGCTTTCCCTGCCCGGACAGGCGGCCAGCCGGAGCTTGGCAGGTGTGAGCTCCCCTCGCCGGAATGTGACACAGCCCTTCCGCCAGGGTCCACTTGCCACAGCCCAGAACCTGAGATAAAGTTAGCTGTGGAAACTAGTGGAAAGAAAAGCTGGTGTGAGCTAGGGGGCTTTCAAAACAGAAAACACTTTAATTGTATTATTCCCGGGCTTATATTTACAGTATTTAAAACTGTTTTGAACAAGTGACACCCCCAAGATCATGTCAAGGAGCCTATGTTAACAAATTGAGACAGGACCCATATCTGGTGAGGCTATCTGTTGGCAAAGGGATGTGTCTAAACCCGAGTTTGGGGAGTAGGTGCTTTCAAGCCCCCAGGAACCTGTACTCCTGTTTCAGATTATTTCTTCCAAAGAGGGATGTTTGCTGTCAGATGAGCTTGAAACAGTCCCAGTCCCAAAAGGAGCCCCATTACAGGTTGGCAATTTGCAGATTATTGGGATTTCTGATCAACACTTAAGCTCAAATGCATTCTGCTTTTGCAGCTAAGTGGTGCTTACCTTCCAGCTGAAAGGTTCTTGAGGGGCACTTCCTGCCGCCGAGACATCCTGCCCTTGAGCCCACTCTGCCTCTCCCAGCACCCTCTGCAGTCAGCCACGCCCTCCCGGCTGGCCTCTGGCCCTCGGGCTTGGGGTGTTTGGGGGAAGTTGGGAGTACCTGTTTTCTGTAAACTGCCTCTTCGCTCTGTCCTCTCAGTAAACCAGCTTGCGGCTCACCGTTAGCATCAGAGAGCAGCCTCTTGCTCAGCCCCTCGGTGCCACCCTGTTTCATGTCAAACGAGAGAAGGGACCTTGTTGGCCAGTGACCGTCCCCTGTTGGGAATGAGTGGGACCCTGGGGGTCCTGACCCCACGTTCCAGGCCCCTTGCCACACCCCCAGCAGTTCACCGGGCAGTGCCCAAGGAGGCCCCGTGCTCGGACTAGAGCTGGGAGGTGGGTTCTCTGCTCCCCTCGGGCCCCTGCCACTGTGAGGACACCCCTGAAGGTCTGTCTGCCTTATGGGCCCTTTCAGCGTTTGTAAGCGGTGTATTCGGAAGATGGACCACCACTGTCCCTGGGTCAATAACTGTGTCGGCGAGAACAACCAGAAGTACTTCGTCCTGTTTACAGTAAGTCAGCTTCCCAGGCCTGCCCCACCCTCCGTGGAGCAGCGGAGCGCTTCGGTCCTTCGAAAATTCTAGGCACTCGCAGTGTTTCGTGCTGCTGGTTCGGAGTCTTCCCTGGCCGTGTAAGGCCTCCGCCTTCCCGCCAGAGTGCTCCTGGGCTCAACAAGTGCCTGTTCCTAAGCCCTTCACTTGAGCATCTAGCAAATTGGCTCAAGTCGATCAGCTCTAAGCAAGGGCTGTGTGCTGGGCTCCCACCCCAAGTGTCCAGTCTAAGTAGCTACAAAAGCCAGTTTTGGTGGTGACTGCAAGCCCTCCCTCAGCTGCAGGTAGGTAGAGATTTAGCAAGAGGCCTGGAAGAGCCCTTGGCAGTCAGCGCCCTGAGTTTTCAAGTGCAGGGAAGCCACCGGCCCAGAACACCCTGGCCCACCTAGAGCCCAGGTCACATCTGGCGACAGGCGCTTGTTTCTTCTTCCACACACTCTCACCTTGGTCCCAGAACCAGGGCGGGAGACCCCTAGGGGAATCCCCAGAGGCCTCGCTGGCTCTCTCCCAGGCAGCCCTCAGCCTAACTGAGTGTTCCAGAATGGGAGGTCCTGAGCATCCCTGTCCCAGGAGCCTGCACCGTCAGAAGGTTCTCACAATAATGGCATCTGCCCTGCTTTCCTGTTTCAGATGTACATAGCTCTCATTTCCTTGCACGCCCTCATCATGGTGGGATTCCACTTTCTGCACTGCTTTGAAGAAGACTGGACAAGTGAGTATGTGCCAGAACTCCACGTCCTGCTCCAAGGGGCAGTGTGCGACCCACGGGGGGCGGGCTCTTGGTTTGTGTCATGGTGCCAGTGGCCAACCCCATTTTATTAGATCCGCTGCAAGCCTACGGACTGACCAGGGAAGGGACAGCAGAGGCCCAAATCTCTCTTTATGAAAAAAAGCAACCCCCTAAAAGTTCCACAGGTTAAAGTAGTGAGTTGGACAGACCCTCTAGCCTAAGCGTGCCCAGGGGAAATGCTGGCCCCGCAAGAAGCACGTCCCAGGGCACGGGAGCCTTGCCGGGGAGAGAACCTTTGTCTCCTTGTCTTTAAGAAGAGGCACTTTAGGGGCGCCTGGGTGGCTCAGTTGGTTGAGTGCGTCCGACTCTTGATCTCAGGGTCATGAGTTCAAGCCCCACGTTGGGCTCCACGCTGGGTGTGGCGCCTACTTAAAAAAAAAAAAAAAGAAGAGGCACTTTAATCAAAAGTCATTTCATTCCAATCTCACAGAACTCCATTCTGAACTTTTGTTTTCTGTGAGTGTTTTTTAACTGCTTCCTCACCAAGCCACACTGAGATCGCAGAGCAGCTCCTTCTTGCTTTAGTGGAATCCATTTCACACACAAACGCTGAGGAAGGAACTCCATCCAGGAGACCACACAGACCCTGAGGGAAAAAATAGATGCTGGGAAAACAAACGCAGTTTTATGATTTTAAAGAAGAATAAAAATAAGAGAGAAGAGAAAAAAATTTTGATAGATGCTGGAGGAATTAAGAGTGGCCACGTGCTGAGCGAGATCTCACACACGCACACTCAGTCCGTGAGACAAACATCTTGAGCAGAAGCATCAGATGGGCCTCCTTTTCCGTTGCACCATCTTTCAGAACTTCGCTCTTCCCGTACGTACTGTCTTCTTGGGCACCAGCTTGCTGTTCTTGTTCCCCAGAACTGGGGAGGCCATGGGAAGGATGGGATCTCTAGCTCCCAACCTGCCCCCTGCCTGGCCCGGCCTGGCGCCACCTAGGGGAGGAGAACCCCATGAGTCTCAGTCAGCTGGGGCTGCCATGACAAAACACCACAGAACCCCCTCCTGACCTCATGTAACCCTCACCACCTCCCAAAGGCCCCATCTCCAAATAACATCACATGGGGGGTGGGGCTCCCACCTATGAATTTTGCGGGTGACACAGTTCAGTTGGTGTCACCGTGCCTCCCAGTTTTCGTGACTACTGCAGTTCTGGTGCCAGCCAGACGGGGAAGGTCAAGCTGCAGAGCTGGGCGGGGGCCCCAGCGCTTTCCTGGGTAAACGTTCTGCAAGTGCACACACTCTGCTAGGCCCTGGCGATCCAGTCCCAACTCCAGATGTGGCCTTGGCAACTTGGCAGTGGAGTCTGACAAGGACATTTTATCAACCCTGTCGCCCCCTGCCCCCCACCCACTGCTGTCGGGTTAACAGACTCAGGCAGTGGTGAGTGTGCCCCGGACCATCTATGAGGCAGAAGGTCTCTGTCTTCGGAGCACGGTTGACAGGGGCCGTGTCATTACCGCTGAGAGCCAGCTGGGGCGCACAGGACTTGGTGAGCAGCGCCTTACTTCAACCTTACGACAAGCCCCGCAGGGCAGGAGAGAGGCTCCCACTTAGTGGGTGACAAAAGCTGGGGCTCACAGGGGTCTAGCCGGTCCCCAAGCTCACACGTCTAAGAGGAGGGCCGTGTTTCAAGCGCCAGTCTGGAGCAGGCTCTTCCAGCCCTGCCTCAATGACCCTGGGGCCCAGGGTCCTCCCTGAGCGTTCTTGGTTGTCTTCAGTCAAGATTCCTGATGGAAGAGGCTTGAGGCGGGGGTGCCTGTGGCCGCTAGGCTAGGAGGACAGTCCCCAGAGTGGAAGCCTGGGATTGGCCCAGCGTGACAGCAGCTACTGTCACTGCTCAGCCGTGGCCGAGCTGTCTCACATCCAGCTTGTGCAAGAAGGGGAAAGGGGTGTCCCCAGAATGAGGGCGCTTTGAGTTGAGGTTTAACAAAGGGTAGAGTGCTGGTTGTACGTTTCCTGGGTCTGATTCCTGTCTCCCCAACTCTATTCGTCGTCCCCGGGGGCCCGCCCAGGAGGGGAAGGGTCCGTGTAGCTGGGTGAGGTTGGAGAGCAGGCCACGGCACCGGGCTCTGCCTCCTGCCCCAGCCCCGGGGCAGCCGAGGTGGGGAAGGAAGGGGCAAGGCACCTCCACCTAGGGGGCACCAGCCGTGTGCTTGTGCTGGGCCCGGGCCGACCTGTGTGGATGTTCTCATGCGCTCTCAGCCACGCCACCCAGCCGAAGGGAGAACTAATGCTCAGAGAGCCCCAGCCATGTGCCCACAGTCCTGTGTTATCGGGCACTGCTGCAGGGCTGGTTGTACAGCCTCCTGGGGCTGCAGGTATGGGCAAGGCAGACAGCAAGCAAGGACAGGAACAAACGTGATTCCACGGGGTGCGGGACAGGGAAGATGCAGGGGCCACAGATTATTAGTGGGGGCATCTTAGCAAGAGCTTATGGTGGGAGCTGGCTCCAGGATCCTCAGCCTGCTGTGTCTGCCTGACCGTGGAACCCTCGCTCTGCCCACCACCCCACCCAGCGGCCAGGCAGCCCGCTGCCACACCCAGAGCCGACTGGGGCCAGCCCACCCGGGCCCTGCCAGCAACGAAGCCAGAGGGGAAAGTGTCTGCAAGCATTGTTGAGTTCAGAGGGAAGCGTGAGGAGATAAAGGCATTTGGATGAGATGTGGCTCACCTCACCACCTGGACAGTGCTGTCTCCAGGCCCGTTGTGGTGAAGCTCCCGCGACACTGGCGGCAGGGCATCCCCAGATTCCCTGAGTTCCCGAAGCCCAGGGAAGCCCGGCCCGGCCCTCCCGGATCAGACCCCTCCAGCCAGGGCAGTAGGCCTGCACCCTGGGGCAACGAGAAACATGCACCACAAGCCGGGCTGTGACAGGCCCAGGCAGCCGTCAGCGGGGGCAGGTGATTGGCCGGGATCAGATCCCTGTCTCCCAGTATCATCCCCATTCCCTCAGCCGCACCCCCCCATCTCCCACAGCACCTCGGCTTTTCTCTCCAGTTGGGGGTGCTTCTGATTTAGACTTGGTCCAGACAGAGGCTTCTGGTGCTGAAAACAGAACCACACATCTGGTCAAACCTTACTACTCTATGAGGAGGGGGTGGAGGCCTGGGCAGGGACAAGGACTTATCTCGGGTCACACACCCCCGGCAGCCTGGGCTCAGAGAGGGGCCAGGAGAGTGAACGCAGCTGCTCTGGGCCAGGCAGCTGTCCGGTTGGACTGACCGTCTCAGTGATGCAGACGCTCCTGAGGGGGGCGTTTCCCAGGGGGCTTGTTTCACCCCTAGCTCAGGGCCAAGCCCAGTAGCCATACTGCCCCCTCATAGACTTTGAATTCTAAAACCCCTGAGTGATCCTCTGGACCTGCCCTTTCCTGTCCCCCAGAAGCAGACAGAGGTGCAGGAATGTCCAGCCTGTGTTGTGCTATCTTAGGGGAGGAGGTTCCCCCTGGCTTCGTCTTCATGCCTCAGCCCTGAGGCTTTTCTGAGTCCTTCCATGTGCCAGGCACTGTGCACAGCAGCAGGATACAGACACTGGCCAGGAAAAGAGCAGCAGTTAAGAGGTGTTAGGAGGGGAAGCCCCAGGAGGGGCCTGGCCTGTGGAGAAGGGCTTCCCTGAGGGAGTGCTGGTGCAGCCAGATGTGAGGCAAGATGGTGTCCGCCGAGGCCTGGAGGCCAGGGACACATGGCACCCAGGAGGAACCAGGTCCTGTGGGGCTGGAGGCAGGGCAGGAGCCCTGGGGACATCAGGTGGTGCGCAGCGGGCAGTGGGTAGCAGCCCCAAGTCCCACACAACCCTTGTCTTTCAGAGTGCAGTTCCTTCTCACCACCTACCACAGTGATCCTTCTCATCCTGCTGTGCTTTGAGGGGCTGCTCTTTCTCATTTTCACATCTGTGATGTTTGGGACCCAGGTGCACTCCATCTGCACAGATGAAACGGTAAGCGGGCAGCCTGCCCCCTCACCTCCGCACCTGGGCTTGGGGGAGGACCCAGGGCAGGTGCTGCTGGGAGGGCTGCATGCAGGCCAGACCTGGGAGCCCAGTGACCAAGGCCCAGGTGCGAGGTGTGCAAGCCACATCCCTCCATTTGCAGTGACACTGGATCTTACACACACACACACACACACACACACACACACACACACGAGTCTTCCCTTGCGGGCCGGCACAGCAGGTCACACCAGGAATGCGGCCTAGCAGCCTTGGTGAAGGGTGCCCTCTGCCAAAAGTCCTTCGCTCCTCCCCTGATGGTTCTGTTACACACTGTGCTGTGTCAGGCACTCTACTGGGCACAGGGACACCCTTCCCATCTGAGGACTACAGGCCTGGAGAGAGGATGATGGACAAAAGGGGCCTGAATCCAGCTGAAATGGGCAGGTCAACTTCCTGGAGGAGGTGACTCCATGCATAGGTCCAGAGGGCAGAGTCAGGAAACAGCCTGCCTCAAGCATCCCTGAGCTGTGGGCCACAAGCACTCACCTGGCCACTAGGTACTTCTGCTTAGTCCATCTCTGGTTCTTGTCTATTGCCCTTCCCCCCTGCCCCAACCCCTACCTCCACCCTACCCACAGCTCCTTCTCTGGGAACTTCGAGGCTGCTGGCTGGGCAGGACTGGAGCCCAATCCCCTGGTGCCATGGCCACCTGTCTGTCCTAAGTGTCCAAAAGTCTCAAGGTGGTCAGTCCATTGCTGTGATGTGGGCCTTTCTTCCTTTTTGGCTCTGGGCTCCAGGTGAGGGGCCCCGGGAGGAAGGGGCAGCACTTAGTTTGGTATGAGGAGGAGAGGCATGAGGTCCTGGGCTCTTCTTGGCACTCCTTCTGGCTTCCCAAAGTCCCCCTCAGGTGGCAGGTGGCAGTCATCTAAGGCCCTGTTGGGGCGGCTTTGGGCCTGCTGATTAGTCAGCGTCAGATGGAGGCTCGTAGGGAGACAGATTACTTGCCACTGCCACCCAGGCCCCTCTCTGCGGGTGTGAAAAATCCGGGGTTTGGCACTCCCTGACCGCCAAGCCACCATCTTTTGGATCTGTGCGAATTCCCGATGGTTAAGAATGGGGGAGGGGCTCTCAGCAACTTTTTTAATCTTTTATAATAATATCATTGTAAGAGTTTCTGTAAAAATAGTAGCCAACGGTGTAGACCCGGCTGTGTGTCCCAACAGTAGGTGTGACCAGCTTCTCTGCCTAAGAGTCACAGGGAACCCAGAGGTGACCGTCCAGCCCACTCTTGCCTGCGGCCAGGTCACACAGGCCGAGGTCTGGGGGAGCCAGAAGGAAAACGCACACAGCCCTGGCCCTAGCTGTTCTCCTTCCAGGCCATTCCTAAAGGGAATTGTGTTGGAAAGGAAAGCAGAAAAGAAGGAAGGGCGTGTCTGGGGAAAGCGTGTCTTCCCTTTGGCCTGAACCCTCCCAGCTCCCTGGCCCTAAACAGAGACTTCAGTTAGGCTGGCCCCTCCGACTCCTCCCGGTTCCTCGTCCTCACCAGAGACCACAGCAGACAGACCCTCAGCCAGGCTCCTGCCAGGCCGCTTCTCTCCTGTTCTCCGAGCAAGGGCACGTCCTCAGGCCCTGCCCGCTGACCAGCTCCATCAGAAGAGGGGAGAAGGGAGGGAACAGGCTCCCTCTCCAGCCTGCTTTTCCTGTGAGACTCAGTGGGGGGAACAGCCCAGGCTCTGGACAACCACCGAGGTGGCCTCTGGCCTCGCTTCTTCCCAGAGGAGCACTGGGAAGACCTTTGCCATGCCCGGGGCTGACTGTCTGTCTGTCCAGGCAGCCCCTCTAACCTCTGCTAATCCCTTTCCTTCCTCCTCTGTGGTGGCTTCTCCCCTCACCCATGGTCTCTGACTCCTGTTTGACCTTCTCAGGTCTGCCTTGCCCGCCCCGCTAAGCTGGGGGCTTCTTGACCTCCCAGGCTGGTGACACTAACAGTGCCAGAGCGGTCATTTCATTTATTCCTTTTTTTTTTTGTCTGCAAAGTGGTCATAGTCGTGTCAAACTTGAACCTACCCAAATTAAAGGCCAGCATTGGCTGTCACGATCCCGAGCCCCTGACAGCTCTGAGGCTTCTTGCACCAAAGCCTTCCCAGCAGCCCCACACACAGCCAGGCCCAGCACCAGGCCAGAGCCCAGTCTGTGAAGATGTGGCTCCTTCACTTAGCAAAACACCCCGGGTCCACATGCCTGTAGGAATCCTGGCTCAGCGGCCTGTGGATTTGCTCACTTTCCCCTCCCTTCCTGGAGGGACTTGTAAAATATGTGCCCACATACCCCCGCTCCCCCCCAAAAAACATGATTTTTTTTCCTTTGACATTTTTCTGTGCGAGAAAGAGAAGAAAAATGTATGATGTAGGTAGCTTTATGGCTTTAAAAGGAAGCATTGACTCCATTCATCTCAAGCTAATGGACATCCCTCCCCCAAAACCACAGCAATAGAGTGCTTGACTGAAAGTATGATTGTTCTTGTTTTCAGGGAATAGAACAATTGAAAAAGGAAGAGAGAAGATGGGCTAAAAAAACAAAATGGATGAACATGAAAGCCGTTTTTGGCCACCCCTTCTCTCTAGGCTGGGCCAGCCCCTTTGCCACGCCAGACCAAGGGAAGGCAGACCCGTACCAGTATGTGGTCTGAAGGACCCTGACCAGCATTGCCGCCCAGACACACACAGCACAGCACTACCGTCCCATCCGTTCTCATGAATGTTTAAACCGAAAAAAAAAAGCAAACCAACTACTCTAAAACTTTTTTTTTTTATGTCTCGAGTAAAATGGCTGAGCATTGCAGAGAAAAAAAAAAAAGTCCCCATGTTTTTATTTTTAAGAGATCATCCTTTCTATTTTTTGGTGACCGAAGCTGCTCTTCTTTTTTTCCTTTTTTTAAAATCACTTCTCTGGCCTCTGGTTTCCTCTCTGCTGTCTGTCTGGCCTGACTAATGTGGAGGGTGCTGTCTCCGGGCCATGCCCGCCTCTACTAACCGAGGGAGCGGCTGGCTGGTGCGTGGACGGACTGGCCTGGATGCCTGGTGGGGGATACGTAGGAGAGGCAGGGGGCCGTGACCTCCCGCTGCCCAGGAGGCCGTGGCAGGCGCCCCCGTGGGACTTAAAACGTCACCGAAGATGGATGCTTACCTCGTGTGGCCGCGAGGGGCAGGATCAGGGCCGGAGCCCTAAGAAGGGCCCTTGGCTCCGCGGCCTCATCCCCCAGTGTGGACACGGTTTGCCTCCTTGTACTCAATGGGCTTGGGTGTGTTGAGTGACTTTGGGGGAGGTGGGATCAAAGGGGTCTTACTTGTATTCCGAATCACCAGTTATATTCCTGCTGATTATTTGGAAGAGTGTGAAGGAGAGAAGTGTTTCCAGCTCTAAATGCCTTACACAGTCAAAAGGAGAAAACAAATCATGTGATTTCAGGTTGCCTTTGTCACGGCTGCTTACTCTTAGCACCCCTCCCTGTCCCCCTCCCCGCAAGGTGGCTGGTTAGCGGCGCTAATGCTGAGTGACACAGCCACATCCCCCAGCGCGTCAACCCCCTCCACCCCATTTTGTAAATCTCTAAAGCAGGTTCCCTTTCTGATGTTTTAGACACCTACATGTGCACGTAGCCATGTCTTATCTGTATCTTAACCTGGGAGGCCGGCGTCCCGGCAAGGTTGGCATCATGGCCCCCAGACTTCTGCAAGCTGGTGGATGGCCACCCCGCTCCCGGGAACCGGCCTTACCCCCCGGAGGCACTTCCCCTGTGAAATCCCCCTTCCAAGAGGAAGGCCGGAAGAGAGTGGGGACATGAGGAGGCCGAGGGACAGGGAGGGCCAAGCCAATGCAGAAATCACAGAAATCAGAGGACTGACCATCTGTGAATTCGTACACGTGGATTTGGTTTTTTATAAGTGATCACCACAAACCTTTTTTAGCTTGTGCTTGGGGTGGGGTGGGGGATAAGGTTTATGAAACCCAATCCAGGTTAGGGAGGAAGCTCATCGAGCCATGTGATTTTTCCATGAACAGTTAAGTGGAACATGCTGCCTCTTTTCAATTCTGTCCGTGCTTCCACATGGAAACAAAATGCAATAAAATTTTTCCAAAACCTGTTCTCATTGAGCCGTGCTCTCTCCCTGCTGCCTTCAGGGAGAGCCGATCGTCCGGGCCAGGCGCGCTGGCTACGGTAGGGCCTCTGTTCCATGGCTCTTAAAGGATATTTATTTCTGCTCCTCCGCTTGCACGAGATGTCCGCTGTGCTGTTTCTAAGGATGCGTTAGCCAACCGCCCTTGACCGAGCCTGCCCACCACCCCCGGCCTCTGGTTTGGCTTCTGCCGCCTGAATCCCAGGTTACACCTTCCCATCTGCAGAGTTTGCTGGAGCGCCCGGCACGGGGGAGAGACCGTTACCCTCTGTGCACCCAGCAGAAAGCAGCGTCGAGCCAGAGGAAGGCGCTGGAAACCTCCACAGGCCGTTCCAGCACTTTGAGGAGCTCCTCCTCATCCCTCCCGTGTCACCAGAGAACTCCACGGCCGTCCCCAAGGCAGTTGACCCCGGCTTGCCTCTCCTGTGCTCTTGATGCCCTAAGTCAAGGCTGAGGTCTGAAGCATGTTTGTTGTTTGTTTGTTTGTTTTTAATCTAGTGTTTAAATCTAGTTTATAGCATTTGTTTCCATGGGCTCCTTTTTTTTCCTCTTTAACGGTTCCTGAGGTGTGTGAAGAAGTGTGGCTGTGACTAGAGCGGTTTTGAGGGCTCTGGCCTGCTCCCACCACTCCCCTTGGGAGGCGGCGCTGCATCTGGTCCTCCTGCCGGGGGAATGTTTTTGCGTATTTGGATGCCCTCCAAAGACTCCATCTTCAAGGCACTTTTTTTTTTTAAAGTGACCCAGGTTGGTTCTTTTTCCCATGGAATGTCTGAGAATAGTGCTGAAAACATATTGATTTTATTTTTTTAGAGTCCTAAACCTAGAAATTCATCCTTTAAATCTGAGCGTCCTATGCATATCCTTCCCAGAGAACAAGGCTGCTTTCGACATCCTGTAGGAGGGACAGGGAGGGCTTTTACGAGCCTTTCAGCCAGAGGGAAATGCTGCCCTCGGAAGAGAGGAAAACCCCGGGTTCCCTGTGGTTTTTCTCGCTCGCTTTCATCAAAGCGGGAGACGTTTTGCCGGGAGCTCAGTGACTAGGGATGGGGCTGTGGAGTGATCGGCCCGCAACCTGGCATCCCCACAGGAAGAAACGGGCATCCCTGAGCATCCCCCCAGTCTAACCAGACAGCTGAGGACAGAGGACATGTCTCCACACAAAGGCAGCCCTGGCTTTTGGCTCCGGCACAGGCGCTCCGACAGTGCTGGGTGGTGCGCGCTGGGCATTGAGCCCATGGCAGCCGTGGTCTTTCAGAGGGTGGGCCCTGGAGCATGGCAGGGAAGTACAAAGAGGAAGGTGACGTGGCGAGCTGGATTAGGTGACTCCTTCCCGCCTGGCGACCTCAGGCGTGTGCTCCTAGCAACTGAGCTGAGCATGCATAGGCCTCCATCCAGGCAGATCTCCGCCTCTGGGCCCGGGCTTGGTGACCTCGTGCCCACAAAGTCAGTTTGGGAGGCAATGCGTGTGTCACACCGTTTCTTCCGTGGAATACTTCATCTCAGAAGAACCAAAGCGAGACACCTGGAATGACCAGTTCTTTCTCATTCGGGCTCGGCTGCCGAGAAAGTTACGAACCACCTTCCTGCTGCGGGGATCTGTTGGCTGAGGGGGACTAAGAACTGTTTTTGAACCAGCTGTGGGAGGTGGGCATCCCCCAGAAACCGGAGGCTTCCGGAGGCTGCGTTGGGCTCCCCCAGCCAGGCTAATGGGCCTTAAGTTCCTCTCTTCTCGGGGCTTGTAAGTGCATCAGCCCCAAGGGTGAGCCACCCACCTGAGCCAGGGGTCTCAACATAGAAGGGGCCCTTAAATACCAAAGAAATGGGAAAAGAGGAAGATCTTGCTGGAATCCCTCCCAAGGATCTTCTTGCTGGTGGTGCCCGGAGGCCGTGTGTTTCCGAGTGTGGTCCCCAGACCAGCAGCAGCAGCATCACCTAGGGACTTGTTAGAAATGCCCATTCTCAGGCCCCGCCCCAGACCTACCGAACCAGAAATCCAGCAGTCTGGATTGAACAGCCCTCCAAGAGACTGACACGCGCTCAAGTCCGAGAGTCCCTATGGGGCGTGCAGGGGTCCCCCGGAGGTGGTCGGTCCCTGATGCCTGCCAAGGATATGGTCCCATGTGGTGCTGGGTGGGGTGGGCTGACCGGGAGACCCTCTCCCCCTTACCACCCACAGCCTCCCCAGCAAATGATTCTAAGCAAACAAGAAAAGCCTGTTGGTTTGACGGGGAGCGAAACTGTTAGTCTGGCCGGCAGTCCTCCACATTTCATCTGTCCCCCTGGGTTCTGCACCGAGGGGTTCCGTGGATATAAAGCCTTCACAGTGACACGGAAACCAGTTGCTGGCCAGTCTGCTGTCCCTGAGTGGAGACTTCATCCCCCCACCCTCTCCCTCAGGAAACAAGTCCTCGGTGGTATGACTGCTGTGAGGACCCTAGCAAATCGGAGTCGCCCCCAGGGGTCCGCCCGCGCACACGGGAGCCAACGAGGAGTGTTTGCAGAAGTCCCTGGGGGAAGCACATGTCCTGATCTGTGGACATAAGGATGCCCCGAATCTCTCTGCTGCTGAGCTTACATAGCTTGGTGACCGGGCATTTAGCCCCTGGCCCCACCCAGTCTCTGATTCAAGGCCCTGCTCAGCGACATCCTTCGAGTGTGACTTTGGGCCGTCGCTGACTTAAGCCTCCGTGATCTCCCCTGTCAAACCAGGGAGGCCATGTAAATCACAAGGTCAAGGCGAGGACTGAATGAGAGTCGTGACCGGAACTGTGAGGATGGCGTCCGGCACCCGGTGTGTCTTCAGTAAACGCTAGCGCTGCTAGACCTCTGCTCTTCAAACCACGGTCACAAGGTTCATGATCTGTGAGACCAGTTTGTTGGTGTGCAGCGGCCTTTTTAAAAAATAAATAAATAAAAATGGGTTACAATTGTGGACTAAGTATCATTTCGTGAAACTCTGTGGGGGGTGGTGCCGGGTTGCCCAGAAAAGTATTGTCCAAGTTGTGGGTTGGAGGAAAAGGACGTGAAACTACAGAGGAAGAGAGAATGATCTCTGGCCATCTAAGGAGGAGGGACGTGGCGCGGGCAGCAGCGTCTCCAACTTTCTCCGTCTGATGACGTGGGGAGCGGGGGGCGTACAATGAGCTCTGGCTCCGTGGGTCTCAGCTGAGTCCTTACAAAGCCTGTGCTTGGGTCTCTGCCTCCCTCAGGAGCCTTAGGCCTGGTCCGTTCATCCTGGGGACTCTGGTGGGTCCCGCAGATTACAGCTCATGAGTCATCCTGGCAGAGGGGGCCCCCGAAGCCCCCAGCCACACCCTCCCTACAAGAGAGGTTGGCTCCGGCCGCTGCCCCCTACCCAGGAATCAACCATTCTTGTTCGCCTGGGCCTGAAGTGGGTATACTGCTGCCTCTGCAGACCTCCAGCTGAAGAACTTTGCCTTCAGCACGCCTGTAAATCCACACAAAAGTCAAACTTGAGTCCTACCAGGAGAAAGAAACCCACTTGGCTCCTCCTGACCCCTGGCTCTTTCAGACCTCTCTTAGGCCTCAGATGCGTTTGGAATATTTTCTCCTGTCCCGACTCAGAGTTGACCTGGATGTTTGTCCACTTACCTGCTTAGGAACTTCATCTGGTGGATGGGCTGGGCTCTGATCTGGAATGTTCTTACGAGCTTGGTGAAGAGGTTGAGTGTCATCCCAGAGTGCTTGCCACGGAACACAGTCATCCTGTGGGCTCTTATGCTTCCTCTCCCTCTCTGGCTTTTTCCTCTGCCTTGGTGGTCAGCACAGGTAGAGTAGAATTTGTAGGAGGATTGAAAACGCCCTGGGCAGAAGGAAGACACTGGTTCTCGCCGCGGTTCCGACGACCAACAGGACAAGTTTTGGCCACTCAGACCCTCTGTTTTCCCCTCTGCCAAGTGTCAGTACCAACACCCACCTCCTGTCAGGGTGGTTGTGAGGATCCCACAGTCATGGCTTTGAGTCAGTGTGGATACAGTCAATCTGCCATTTCTGGGTGTCCCCTCTGTCGCCTGCCCTGCCTCCTGATGTCCCAGCTTCCCTGAAATCGTGTTTCAAATGCCTCTCTTGACAGGCTGCAAAGGATTGCCCGCGAAGGGAACACAGCATCCCCCAAAGCAAGACCCCTCAGGTGGCCCCTGCGGCTTCTGCTAAGTAGGGAGGCCTGGCGAGGGGCCGGTCCATGAGCAGCACAG